GTGTGTGTGTGTGTGTGTGTGTGTGTGTGTGAGTGTGTGTGTGTCTCACAGGCTCTCCAGACTTTGGGTTCCTGTCAGATCGGGGAACTGGGAGAGTTGTGCGGCTCCGTTCAGAGATCTGAGGGAAACACAAGACGGAGCTCCCGCTGAGAAAAGCTGCTTTAGGTGGAGGAAACAGAAAATATCCTGGCTGCCTGCATTCTTCGTGTAATTAGCACCTGATTCAATAAGGATCAGGCTAAAGACAGAGATCAGGCTAAAGACGGAGCCGCCTCCGGGTGACCCCCACTCACCACGTATGAGCTCTGAAACTCAGCAGAGCTGAGTCACCATTCATAAAACAAACATATAAACCTTCTATAAATGATGAGTGATGTGCTCATACACACACACGTGTGTGTGTGTACTTTAATTCTGCAATTTAACTGCTGCCAGCAGGGGGCGACAGTTGGGCCTGGAAAGGGGATTTTTAAAGCTTGCTTTTAAGATGCTTATTAGACTATATTCACAACTTATTCAATGCAACACAACGTTAATTTTTAGACAAATGGTCCAGTTTAGACACACACACAGGAAACAGCACGACGAGGGTCTGATAAAGTCTGAGTACTTCCTGGTGCTCGGTGGGTTTGAGGGTTTGTGGAGTTACTCACAGGGTCCGGAGTTCGGGTAAGTTCTGAAAGGCGGAGCGTCCGACAGACTGGATGGGATTGTCATAAAAAAATCTGAGAAGCACAAACAGAAACATGTTCATCATCTCCTGAAAGCTGGCCTCATTCCTCAGTTCTTAACCTCACAAAAATAAAAACATCAGCCTTTCTTCACATGTTGTGAGCGAATCCTTTGTTTTTTATGCACAAAATATAATGTTGTGACTTTGGAATAAGCGGTTATGATAATGGGAGGATGGATTGATGGACTTCTTCTTAAATAAAAGCTTCTCAGTTATTAAAAGTTTTTAGGGGAAAAATGTAAAACTGCTGTCTTTAGAGTATCCTCTGACCCTTTTTTTTGTTTTTATTTCTAACTCTAACAGGAGTTCTTTAAGTAAATTAATTCATGCTCTCAGTGAAAACCATCTGTCACAGATGTCCTGCAGCTAAAACCAGAATAATGGAAAATACTAATCAGTTTAAAACAGATTTTAAAGGTGTTGCTAGTAAAATGGATTAAGAACCGAGGTTAACAATGAGCATCTGTGTTGGATGTGTGTTGGAGGCTGTGGGACCTACATGGTGGTCAGTGATGGGTTCCCAGTGAAAGCGTGCTCTGGGATGGACTGGATGTTGTTGCTGTGGAAACCGCTTCACAGGAAAAAAAAAAAAAAGTTAGCTTCCTCTGCGCCCTTCTCTCAGAAAAGAACCAGTAACCAGTATTTTTAGATAAAAAATAAAAATAAAATAAAAATAAAATAAAATTAAATAAAATTAAATAAAATTAAATAAAAATAAAATTAAAATACAATAAATTAAAATTAAATTCAAATTAAATTAGAAAAAAATAAATAATAAATAATACATAAGTAAACAAACAGTTTTTTTTGCCAGCACCAGCAAATAACAACATGAAATCCTCTAAACGAAGGCCCGTCAGAAGCGGGCGGACTCACAGCTCCTTCAGGTGGCCCAGCGAGCGGATGGCCGAGGGAAACTCCACCAGGTTGTTGTAGTTCAAGTCCCTGAGGAAGAAAAGACAGAGTCTTCATCACAGCACCCCCTGATGAAGAGAGGCTGGTTACTGTCAGTTTGTTTCCACACAAAACAAGACGCTCATCAACAAAAAGGAGGTTTGTGCACCAGCAGAGTCAGCACATGAACACAGGAAACCATTTTAAACATCATAGTTTTATTCAAATTAAGTTTTTTATATTAAAGGAAACCTTTGCAAACAACAGTGGAAAGGTAAAGACATATTCATACTGGGACTGGACTGCTCTATACTGGGAATACTGGCCAAAAATAAGAAAAAGCCTTGTCAGCTCAGTGATAGAATATTATATATTTATTTCTCACAATTATGAAGGGTTAGGGTCAGGTTTAGAGTCAGGGTCAGGGTTAGGGTCAGGGTTAGGGTTAGGGTCAGGTTTAGGGTTAGGATCAGGGTTAGGTTTAGGGTTAGGGTCAGGGTTAGGTTTAGGGTTAGGGTCAGGGTTAGCATGAGCTGGTTGACGATTGAGCCAAAAATCTGCTGAAAAAAGCATAAATCTGTAATCAGAGCGTTATCCCTCATGAGGAGTGTGTCCCATTTAAAAGACATCTGAAAAC